TTTAGCCCATTTCACGTATGCAGCAACTTAAGTGCAATAACTTTCATAAGAACAATCAAAATAACAGAATGGGGTAAAGCTTCCAAGTCTCTCATCTGAAGTAGCACTTAGTTTTAGCTACTTATTTTTAAGATTTTGCTTTATTACATCAAAACAAAACAAAAAAGCCCAACAAAACTGGGTGCTCTAAATCACTCAGATAGAAGAATCAATTAGTATAGACAAAATGAAGTGGCTGATTATCTAATATTGTACATAGTCTTATAAGTGCAAAATAAATTCTGCTGTTCTGTGGTTGGCAATATGACAGGTGAATGACAATAACCTCCAGGTTAAAAAAAATCACAATAATTTTAAGACTAATATACACTGGAGTAAACTGAAAATTCTCAAATTTCCTTGGAGTAAGGCACTATTAGAGGCTCAGTGATTTTTTATGGCATCTTAGAACAAAAGAAACATGCCAGCACTCAAGTTTATTATGTAGGATATTTCAAACTACTTAACTGTGATACTGTACATGGTAGCCCACTGATTCCTCTGTATTTTCTTTTAAATTTTACAGTATCCCATGTGCCTCTAAGAATTAGCTCCAACAATCTGGGAACACTGGCACACGAGCTGGGAACTGTGGCGCCAGCCATGTGCCCATCAATTGGGAGAGACTCTGTCTATAGCTATCAGATACATTCAGTTTGACACCTTGGGCTAAACTATCAAACGAGCTCTTTTACAACTGTTTATTTTATACTACATATAGAAAATGGACTATTTTATTAGATCTTGACCTTCCCAAAAATTTACATTTTATTACCACATAAAATGTCTCCCTGTCAAAAGTTGTACATCTACTGTAACTATAACAATTATATGAATGGCAATTTTACACCCAAACAGAAAACACAAGAGAAGAGGGTTGTGGTCACTGGGAGGAAAAGCACTTACACCTCTCATTTCTTTTTCTAAAATATGTGCTATGAGTTACCAGTCAGCGACCTGAGCATGGACTCTGAGGAAGTTGTGAGCTGCAGGGAAGACCATCCTGGGAGACAGAAAAGTGGTACTGACAAAATTTACGATTGTCAACCATCCTATGTAAGAAGCTTCTTTCAAGCCTAAAATATCAGTTTAACATGAAGAAGCACAGTCAAAATTATTTTTCTCTTTATACAGCAGAATTTATCTAAAATGAGCAAACATGACACTGGTATATTCCCTGCAATATAAAATTCTTTTGCACATGTCAAAAACACATAAGTTTTATTTCAAAAATAAGAATGTGACACAAGTTTCCCAGCTCACAGAGAGAAATCTTTGGCTAACTGGTTAGGATTCTACTCCAACAGATGCAAATGGATTGTGTCCTTGGATTCTTTAGCCATGTGAAATACATTTCTAGCAATTCACATCCACCTCTAGCTTTACTACAATTTAGGAACCTTGCTTAATTAGTTGTTGAGACTTATTTAAAGGGTTTTCAAGATCGTTTTTGGACTAAAGTGAGCAAGGCATCCACAAATATAATTCAAAATTGGAGCTGTTAACTACATGTTATGAAAATACGTGGGCTTCTGTATCATAACCTAGTTAATAGTTTTAATACAAATGGACAAGTTAAAAATATGTATTATTCAGCCAGATTTTCCCTCTGGAATGAACTGATCTCAGAATGCAGTTGACTAGTTAACCAGAGTTTTTACATAATTATTTTCAAATTCTGTACATATACATAGAGAGTATTTGATTCATTAATAATGATGTTTTACTTTCTCAGAAGTGTGCATTTTAAGATTTTTAAGAAATAAGTAGCAAAAGCAGTAACTACATATGGATCCAAGAAGCTTGGTTTTTTGTGCTTAATCCGATTTATGCCAAATTCCTGAACAGAATTTGTGTTTCCAGTATTAACACTTCAGTATTTATAAATTGGTTAAAAATTGTTCTGCGTTAGAGTGGACTACAGAATTATTTGAAGCTTCCTTCCTATGTAGCTCGTCACAAGCTCTGTAGCCTGTGTGCTGCTGTTAGTTTATTCCTGTGATGTTAAATGGTGCTCATTCTAGCAGGGAGGACAGGCCCAACAGCTACGCTTTTGGACATCACCACTGCACTATCATGTCATACAATGTGGTGTTTTCTACATTATATTTCTTATAGGAAAAATATTTCTATGTCCAATTTAAAGCATCTTTTTCTGAAAATTAGACATTCTGAGTGAAACTACAATGGTTAGGTCCTCCACTTGTGTTTTATTATTTTTTACTACAAACACTTAAAGTTTCATTTTTAGTCCCAGAGATTTTTTGTTTAATTTGTCAAGATACATAGTCTCTAGGGCACATAGGAAAATTTACCATTAGTATGCTGTATGCATGAGCCAATGAAAAGTATCTAGAGTTTGGATATAGTGTATCTTAGTATATCTTTCACATACACTTGAGAATAAATCAAGATGGAATGCTCAGCCTTTTCCACTGAAGACCATGTATTATCACTCTAATAAAAGCAACTGCCATCCAGAAATATCAGACTGGCAGTCATGGAAGGGAATGAAATGGGGATTTTCATGGAAGAGAAGGGATGGTGAGATGTAGTGTGATTAGAGGAGAACTGTTTGGACTACTTATCACGTCTGCCCAGATTCACATTTAAACTGACTCAAAGTGCCAAAGTGCAGTGCTTTCTGTTGCTACTGGCTTCTGCTTCGTTCTAGAGTACGGCATGATGCCAGTTCCCAGCTTGCCAACGGCATTAACGACTTTATTCTATTTTATTTCCAAGGTTACAAAAATGGTGTCATTTATAATTTTAAGCACGGAAGGCATGAATATCAAATGGTTAATATACTAACAGTTTTAGAAAGGGAAAATGTCTCCATGCCATATTATATTAACACTGCACAAATTTAGTAAGCCAGTTCTGTCAAATGGGAACGTTCCTGACCCTTCCAGACCTGCATTTATGCTGTTGTTCTCACTCAATGTGGTTTTCACTTCAGCACAATATCTGCTAATGGAACTTATTTCTGCAGTTGCTTAAAAAACTTTTTTTTGAAAAGAGAAATAGTCTATATGTATACATTGCAGGTGCAGTCTAAGCAACTAACCATTTTTAAGTGTCTTTTCTTTTGCATTTTAGTAACCAAGGTTACCAAAAACATATTGGCAACATGTGTTTCATGTGAAAAGTAATTCCTTAAAAAATAGAAACAAAGGCAAAAAACTATTTGATGACTAAAAACTTAAAATCCAAAGTAGCAATAGAATTTAGAGTTATATAGTTAGAATTTTAAAAATTTAGATTAAATGTAAAATGTAGTATGTCCGGATGAATGATTATCCTAAAGTTAGGATATAATATTAAATGAATAAATTAAGAATTCAGTGTGAGAACACTATTTTAACACACAGGAAATCAAAGTTAAGAGAAGGATTTGTAAAAGTAGCAGTGGCACATGGCTGTAATCCCACCACTTAGGAGGCTGAGGCAGGAGGATTCCTGCAAGTTTAAGGCCAGCCTGAGCTACAAAGTGATTTCAAGGCCAGCCAGAACTACATAGTGAAACCCTGTCTCAAATATATATATATATAATACATAAAAAATATATATAACAAAGTAGCATTCAAGCACAAATTTTTGTAGACCAGCTTTTATTTGAATACTAGTTTTACAACCTAGTCATCTAAAATGACTTTGTATGCTTTAAAAATAATACCCCATTTCTTCATTATGAGAAAGGTTTAAAGACTATAAATATGTATCAAATCCCACATATGAAAATTCAAATAGAAACCACATGACAGAAAACTCAGAATTGATTTCCAGTAATGTTGGACAGTTTCTCAAGTGCAACAGCATAGCAAGATGTTAATGGGGCAATTTATTAACATATATATGGAGCGGGACTTCAATAACATTTGAGGAATAATATTCAACATAAGTATGTAAAATGGTAATATTTCACTAATTTTTTCAATGGAGTTCTACTTCTGTCAATGAAAATACTTAAAAAAAATATTTTTCTATATTCCCTCTTGCCCAGTAATGAGATTTTAAAATATTTAGTTTAGAAATCTGGTCCCTCTTTGGAATATCATTTACAGTTGAATACAGTTGGCAATCTGGCCATTTAAAATTTTTTAAAATAAGTACTTTGCTTTTGAAACTAGCACTGTCCAATTCAGATAGGACAGAAAGATTTTAAAAAGGCATAAAGTCAGAGGGGTCAAAAGTTGACACATTCTATTAAGGGATATCATGGTGTAACCTATAAATTTGTGCTAAAATGGATTGCTTGTAAAGAATGTCCATTGATCCATTTAAAAATTATAGATTGTTGTAGTAGAAATTTAAATATAGTAATGAACAAGATAGAATTAACAAACACTTCATAAGGTTTACTACAATTAAAATGAAAGAGAAACATAGAATCAAAGGAATCACGGGAAAGCGACCTAGCACAGGCCAGGTAATCACTCCCTTATGTGATCTGAAAGAAGTTTGGGGTTCCAGAGAAAGTAAATACTGACAATGTGAGCCCAGAAAGAGGGTGGCTTGATCTAAGAACTAAAAGACAGGTGAGAAACGTGGCTGTGATTATAAAGAGGTGACAAATGCCAGGGCCAACTAATTCACATAAGGAATTTGAGTTTATGTTTCTGAGCAATGAAAAGCTATTGAAAAAATATTACCATCATTTCTATACAACAATAAAACGAACCCACAATTACAATCATATTTTAAGGATACACTGGAAATAGAAGAGAGGAAAGTGAATTATAAAGTGCAAATGCTGGGTTAGAAGCACAGAAACAATCTAAGCTCTTATAAATACCAACATAAATCCTTTGCTGCATGTTCTGTGTGTTTCCCCTTTAAAATAACAGTGCTGAAAAGCTGTACATGTCATCTCATTTCTCGGTGCAGCCTATCATGTAAGATTGCCCAAACTAAAGCCATTCCCTCCTCCCACTTCCAGATTAAAAGTCAGCAGTACTTACTACATCCAGCCTTATAGCTGAAGCCTGGAGGAAGGAGGAATCCTTGCTGGGCCGCTGCAGCCAGCGTCCGTTGATCAGGAGGAAATACGGGAATCATTAATGGCGGCAGCTGACCTTGGACCTGCTGAACGTGATAGAGCGAATCAAAGAGAAGAAGTTTTGGGGCTCCATGCTTCCCACCCCCCTTTCTTTTATGAGAAAAGAAAAGCATTCCTTCACTTTAACACGCTGGCACACACAAGCTTGCCAGAGCACTGGGCCTGAAGCAATGCCTTAAGGTTCCTTTGGCAGGAGAACCAGAAGATTCCACAGCTGAAGGGCTCACCCTCCATCCTGATGGATCTTTTCCCTTCACAGGGACACAGATGATATGTGTACAAGGCTTTTTGGTGTTTTACTACTTTAATGATTTAAAAATTGTTACCTCATAGAATGAACTGAAATCCAATAAGCAACGCTTGTTAAGACTAAAACTTTTTTATAAAATAAAAACTAAAACTGCATCATTTTTTGTTACTCTATTATCTGTCTATCTGTCTATCTATCTATCACATGTGCGCCACACATAATGACCACTTTCATCATAAGGAATTTATACCTGCACATAATACATATTAATTCTTTTTTTCTCATTCTCCTTTCCTCCCTTCAACTCTTCTCTTCCCCATTGAAAAAGCCTTTGTTTCCATTCTCTCCCTTCCATTCTTTTTTAAATGTATTTTCCCTTTCTGTCGTTCCCTTCTTCCCGCTTTGTTCCCCTTCCCATTTGAATGATCTTCCTTCCCCAAATGCATCATTTTACATATAAATCCTTCTTCATTATTTGGGGGTAAATTCTCATGTTCACACGTGAATTTTTAAAATTTCTGAATAACAGACCTGGAAGACAATTTAGAAAACAACTAAAACTCTTCACTTTCTTCAGGAAAGAAGTAACTAGTGTCAAGAAAAGAGCAGATATTCCCATGGTCGTAGAATTACACATTGGTCTAAACCCACTGCCTTGAACCCTACTAAAGATGCTTGTCATACACTTCTTTTTGAAACTTGATATACATGACTTCTGTCTGGGTTGCCATCACTGAAATATGCTCTAATTTGCTGATATCATTGTGAAGGTACTGAGCTCACATATATTAAAAATACACCAGCAGAATGGAAATCACTGTCTTCTTTGAACTACAGAAGAATGTCAGATACATAACCTAATGTACTTATTTCTGCAGCTATGTCATACAATGGGCTAACACAGAAGTTATCATTAACTAAAATATCTATGCTTTTTTCAAACTGATTTTCAATTAGATCTCCCTGGTGAACATAAGTATTGGTTAGTATCTGTCACTATGGATGAAATTTTTGAGTCATATTAAAAATCACATATCTGGGGGCTGGGGATTTAGCTCAGCGGCATAAGCACCTGCCTTGCAAGCAGGCAGTTGTGAGTTTGATCTCCAGTACCGATAAAAAGGAAAAAGACAAAAAAAAAAAAAAATCACATATCTGACACTTTATTCTCCTTCCCTAACACCGCCAAGTATTGATTAAGTTGTTTGGAAAATGTTTAATGAGTATTTTGTGTAAGAAACTGACCAAGGTATCAGTGAACGAGAACACAAAGATTCCACACCCAGGAAGTTTTGATTATTGCAGAATCTTGGTGAAAAATAAATAAACCAAACATACAAAGATAATTACAAATTCATCCAGACAGGTATCCTAGCCATGCCTCTGTTTAGTTTTCAGACTGGTTTTCTTACTGGCATTATACATTCTGAGTGTTCTTATGATTCTAATAGTACTCGTCAGCTGTCATGCTAAAAGTCTACATTCAGTTTTTCTTTTTTCTTTTTTTACAGTAAATGTCTGAGTTGTTTCTGGATCTTAATTGGTGAGAGTGTTTGTAGAAGTATGGAGACTATGTGAGAAAGGAGAATAAGCAAGGAGGGAAGGAGAGACAGAGACGACAGGAGTGAGAGACCCATGTTCACCAGTGATTTCAAACTGGGAAGAACTTCTTTTGACAGAAGAGTTTTAAACCCTTTTCATCAGAGTGAAACTACAAAAAAATGACAACCAGGGTAACAAAAAGACACTATCTTAAGGTTAGAGCTGGTTCATGTACCACTAAACCCAACATTTTTGGGAGCAAAATTGAAAAAAAAAAAAAAAAAGAAAGAAAGAAACCTTATGGAGAAACCAATTGATTAAAGTCTTGAAGATCAGTAAATGCACATGGAGCAAATATGTAACAAGTGGCCTAAAACACTAGCTAAACATCGTAAGATAAAATCACATGCAAGCTAGTTCAATGGATGGGAGGATGCAGACCAGAGTAACCATAAAGGAAAGAACAGCAAACTGGTTTACATTGGTTAAGAGTTGTTACAGCTGCCTATTTTATGTAGTGCTACTGAAGTTGATACATTTAATAAGAGCATTTTGGAATAAAGAAGAAAACATAACCTCCACAGGGCTTACCACAGGCAACCGCATTACAGAGACCTTAAAATTTAAGAAAAATAATGCTGTGAATTGCAGGGACAAGATGTTCCTGTTTCAGGGCAATTCTCAAACTCTACACCGGAACCATGGAGCAACCCTTGAGAAATCCCTATGCCAGATTCCCCAAACCAATGAAAATGTGGATCTCTAGGTGTGAGGTCTAGCTATCCGTCTTTTTAAAAGCTCCCCTGATAATTTCAGTGTGCTTCCTGATTTGAGAAATAGATTTTTTAAAAACTGTTTTCAGTTAATGTCAATAACCTTTGTCCCTCACAAAGCACCTTTAGGTATACAAGTAGGAGAAAGGAAGCTTCTCCATGACTGTTTTAGGTTCTGGTTCACACAAGAGAGTTAGAGGTGTTAAGTTATATTCTTCATAAGAGTCTTCCTAAATACAGCCTTAGATCTGTGTTTCCTATGTGACTCTTGTTTAAAAATGTCCAATGGCTTTTCTTTCCAGTGCATCTTTCCAGATGTTCTGGCTGCCTCCTTCACATATCCTGTGCTCCTGATGAACCATGAAGCACTGCTCTTCCATTCTTTCATATGTTCAACAGTATTTCCTTCTATTTTAACTGATGAATTCTCTTTTACTTTTCTTCCTGGAAAATCTTTATTCAAGCTCCAATGACACACACAAACGTCTTTGTCACTGGGACACTTATATGCTTCTGTTTTTAGGCCAAAAGAACTAACACTTCTTTTAATATCTATTGCTTTGAATAATAATTACTTGCACAGCATTGAGTCTCGCCTAGGACCCTATCTAGCAAAAAAATTGTAACTTATTTCTTATTATATGTTTAGAGCTCCTATGTGGCAACAAATCATAAAGAAGCTAAAGGCAGATGTGATATAATGTCAACTTAGTGAGAGGTTGAGACAGGAAGAATGCAAGTTTGTGCCCAATCTTGGCAACTTAACAAAATTCTGTCTCAAAATTAAAAATAATTAAGAAATAATTATTGGAGACGTAGATCTGTGTGAAGGTCCTAAATCAATTCCCATTACACAGGTGTAGGGAGACGTGGGAGGTGATTGCCTGGATGAATTACACAGTTCCGTCATCTTAGTTACATCTTCATGCACCAACTTCAAAGTCAAAACAAAGCCTGTGGACAACTATGTTATCTAATTACCAGAAAGCAATTTACTTTCACCAGAATAGTGCAGCAGATATAGAACTAGGTACTTTATGTTCTTACCACCAAATCACGGCTAAATGTTTATATAGTATGATGTATCTATGATTTTGAGAACAATGTATTCACAAAGAAACATAAAAAGAAACAAATTTATTACACACCTGTAATTTACAGATACACCATTCTGTTCTAGTATGAAGAGGTTTTTAATCACCATATCTTTGTACTAATTTTGAATAATGTGTAAAGGTGAGAATACTATCATTATCATTTTCTTTTTAACATATTATCTGGATGTTTAAATTTATTTTTCATGTTAATTATAGAGTATGGAATGGATATTTAAAAACATTAGCCTGGTGTCTTGATGGCCAAGCGGGTTATATCTTCCAGTTTTTTCTAGTTTTTATCTCGTTCTGTATTGGTAAAGTTTCCTGTTGCTATGACAAATGACCTGCCGCACACAAATTAAAGGAAAAGAGATTTATTTTAGTTTACAGTTTCAGAGGTTTCAGTGTATGGTAGGCTGGATTGAAGAAAATAATCTCATGGTGGAAGAATGTGGAGGGCTGACGCTGCTCACTCCCTGGCACCCAAGAAACAATGAAGATACAGTCATGCCACTGTGACCCACTTCCCTCCAGCCAGTCAGGTAGACTAGTAAGATTAAGCAGCACAGTTTCACATTAACTCTTGCAGTTTTCTTAGTAACAGGATTTCTGAGATTTTCTCTTTTAGTATTATTGCTATTGTATAGGGAATTTGTTTCTTAGTTTTATTATTTATCTACTGTGTACATTAGAATCCTGTGAATGGCAGTTTTTTCAGTTACTTTAATACTTTACTCCTTAAAATACCAAAAAAGTATAAACTGCAATGAATTCTGGGTCTTGTATTAAATCTGTACATTCTACACTCATGCTATTATGGATTAAATTTTTGATATGTTCAGTACTATAATTTGTTTTAGTGTCTAAATTTTTCAAAAAACAGTATGGAAAGAATAATATAGTTTAAAATAAAGAAAGACAAATGATCTGAGACAACATAGGCATTGCGATGATAAGGAAATAAGATGCAGCATGGCCAAATAAACTGCTCAAGGCCCCATATTTAGGTAAAAGCACAGTTAATGTATATCTCCTGATTTATAATCTAGCGCTCCCTCCTCCACACAGTGTGAAATTCCTCTTGAAGAATTAAAAGAGGAACTACTAAAAAAAAAAGAACTAAAACAGAAAATTAACCTGATCTCATGCTTCCAAAAATGAGGTTTCTTTGCAATATCACAGGACACATTATAAAGTACTATACTAGAAATATTAGAATAAAATAAATAATAAAACAAATATGACCCAAAATCTGTGGTTAACTCTTCTATACAACTACAAACATCTTTGAATACAGTAGATCCTCAGTGTTTACGGATTTTTCACTTGAAAATTTGCCTATTTGATATAACTTACTCATACTC